GATCCAACATATAGCCGTTTATTGAAGGCGTACGTTAGCCATAATGGACTTTGTACATGCCGCACAGTAACGAGTAATGTAAGGCATCGCTCTCTTTCGTAGCTCCCGGTTTCGGACTTCTACAGTCACTCTTTCCGGTAGCATTTGCGTTGTTCTACGCGTTTATCAGTCAGTGCTTTTTCTTCTTTCCCGATGCTTCATGTGGAAGCTGGCCAGGGTCTCGGGACATTTAACTTGTTGTATAGAATTTCGTAAAGATTCCCTCATATCTCTCATGTCAGTTACTCAGGCTGTTTCTAAAATGTTCATTTTGACGCTATGTCGTGCACGTTGAGTAAATGAGCTGCTTGTCAGCTCCGGAAAAGGGCAGTTGAGAAATTCAGACACCTTTTCACATTCAAATGCTCTACTCTGCTGATTATGTTTTATCTCTTTTTAACCTTGATATTCTACTTTTCCACCATATTTTCTCAAATTAGAAATATGTTCGCTCTATGCTAAAGATTCAGCATATGAATTTTTGGTTGGTCTATTCACTTAAGTAAATCAAAAAGTTTCTCTCATATATCACTCGAATATTGAGAAATTTCAGAAGTCATTTATAACGGATGTCGGTCGCTTCCAATCAGCCGACATCGTCTACTGATACGCAAGATGAAAAGGATAAGTCATTGGGTATGAGGGAGGCCGAGGCAGTCCCAGAAAGGCCGCTTGATATCGAACGACTTCGTCGTTGTATCATAGAATTTGTTGTGAGTAATATCAAACCTTACTGTAGCCTAAAAATTATCCATATATCCCCGGTGATTTAGCATGAGAACTTTCTTGAAGTTGTTTTTTGGCAAATGCAAACAGCTAACAAGGATTTTGACGAGATGCTTGGCGTTCAGGCAGTGGTATTGCTTAGCAAAATGGATGAAGTAAGTTCCTTTTCTGATATCTCATTAAATTTTGAAAAAGGGCTCTGGATTCCAATATTTCTTCTCTCGTTTGAGCATCAGATTTTGTCAACTATTTTGTTGATAAAGGCTATACCATAGAAATATGATTAAGATGCGATTTACCCAATTTTTCCTATTTGTTTTTCATGTCAAAGGTAGGTCTATCATTTTTGCAAATTTCTTTTCAGAAGGAGAGAGGGGTTCTGCTTATGGAGCTTGTCACTATTGTTCACGAAGCATCTCCTCAATGGCGGCAAGAATATGAACGAGTGGTGGACGCCATACTCTACTACGCACATGCCGCTGGTGTGCTCTCAATAAAGTGAATGAAATTAATCTCCTTTCTATCGCTTCTCTTAGAACAATCTCATTCTGCAGTATGTGCGTGGAGGGCTTAGCCCTAACAGCCGATTTTACTCTACGAACCATTATGGATCCTCAAAAGTGGACTTTTATTGAAGAAAATATACCGCTAATGGATTACAAGGGCGTTAGGAGCTTATTTAAGTGAGTTTATGATTGCTTAGAGTTCATTTTTGCTTCTTCTTTGCAATTCTACTGCTTTACACAACTTCTAAATGAAGAAGAAGTAGTTATGTTCATCCTTTCTTTAACATCACAGTCGCCGTCATTTGTAATATGTTTCTAATGTTGTTTATAATGTGAAGATCTTGTCATATTGTGTTTTAACTGTGAGTCAATCGGGAAATCTTTTTAATTTTCGTTTCCCTCTCGACGTCTGTTATGGCCCAGTTAGTTATAGAAAACATAATAGACAGTATAGGGCTCAATGCCTTTTTTTGGGACTTTGGTGAGGATTGTGAGTGTTCCTGTTTCCAATTGCTTAAATATTTAGATGTTTGATTTACCAACAGTTCAACAGTATACCGGCTCAGCT